TGAATAATTGTTAGGCACTGAGCTGGCCATAAGAAGTGTGGAAGACAGTACTTTTTTCAAGGAATTTAGAACTTGCCTTTCACAGTGCATTGGGTTTGTCCAGCATTTCCCTGACGATCAAATGCTGTATCCCTTCTGTCCATCTAGACACTCCGAAGGGAAGCATTGCTCAGGGAGAAGCTGACTGCTACCTCTGTGCAGGGGCAAGACCGTCTGCTGAGCACACTGGAGGACCAAGCGCCTTTTGGTTAGAAGTGGAGACTGCAGGCCCAGGCCTGGGGCAGTGACGGAACTTGAAAGCGAGAGAACAGGCTACACGGGAGGGAATGAGTCCTCATTTTTTGACTTAATTAAGGCCTTACTTAAGGAGGACCAAAATTTCTCCTTAATTCCACACCAGCTGAGGACAGCAATTTCAGTCACTTTCATGACACTGACCCAAGGTGCAAAAACAGGGGGCAAAACCTGACAGTATAAGGACCCCGTGTTACCCGGGTCACTCGCGGCCCTGGGCCAGGAGAACATTGCTATTTCGTTGCTGAAGTTATCTCCTGACCCTAACCTAGCTGCTGGACGGGGGCCCCTCAACCCGCTGCGGCCCTTGGGGGGCCGTTTGGAGGAAGATGAGAGCTCACGCTCACAGACCTGGAGCTTGGAGCTGGAACTGGAAGCACCCAGAGAATGCAGACATCCTATCACGAGAACGAGAAGGCCTCGCACGCAGCGTCCATACATGAGCGACAGGAGGGGCCCTGCCTCCTTCTCAGGAGAGGTTTTCTCTTGGTCCTGTCACAGGGGATTTTCCATTGGAGAGTCCTTTGGGTTTAGATATGTTCACCTCTAGCCTGCAGATGTGCTTAGTAGCTATGACATTAAACTCTCATCGGTCACCCATACCTTAAAGTTAAGTACCTAATAATTCTTTCCACCATTATTTATTTGAGCCACAAGTATAGGTCACACTCTGTGCGAGGCACTGGGAAGATACTGGGAAACAAAAGCAGATAGAGCTCCTAATCTCGCCGAGTTTATCGCCTCGTAATAGAAGCAGATATTAATAGAAAAAAACCTTTGCAACAGTGAATACATAGCATACACTGAGATAAATAGAAAAGACCATCGTCTTAAACACTAGTCACTCGTAATCAGTAACAAAGGGACCTGAAACTAAACTAAAAGGTCGAGGATGGAAAGCTTCTTCGAGGAGATGACCCTTGACCTATATCTGAAATAAGAATAAATATGCAGAAATTAACTAGGTAAACAAGGAAGGTGTTTGGGCCTAGATTTGAGCCTTCTTAGAGACAGATTTTGTTTGATAGGATTTCTTATGGAAAAACCAAGGAGGATGGTATATCTGCTGGAACATGAAGATCTCTTTGGTAGAGAGATTTCTTCTGGTACGTTTGTGAAATGAACCTTTGCATATTTATAAAATTTAATATTTAACTGTGGGTAGTGGATAGAATTTAACTAAGGGGGTAGAGAGTAGGTAAAGCTCAGACAATTGAAATCTACAGGTAAGACATACACTTATTTTAGAAAACACTTCACTTTATTCTCTGAACCAGAATTTTTCTGGAGCATATAAAATTAGTGTGTGTGTGTGTGTGTGTGTGTGTGT